TTTAATATTTTAACTATTACATCATAAAAGGGTATTATATACAATATAAGAATTCTTGATATACTTATGATGTATTTTGTTAAAGTATTTTTATTTATATAAGATTTAAAATTAAATTTTCATTAAATAAAAAAAATTGATAGATATATCATAGTAGAATTTTTTTAAAAATTAAAATCATCATAAATTAGCAAATATATCTTTTAAATAAAAAATTGTAATTAATGTTTGATTAGTTAGTTGGGGGGGTAGTAAAAATGAAAAAGAAGAGTGCATGCTAGGCTGAAATCAAATTTAATGAAGGATGGTCAAAAATGTTAGGCTAAAATTAATTAATATGGGGAGAAAAAAACTAAAGTAAAATGGTAGATTTACCGAATAGAGGACGTATTGACACGTGGCAACAAAAAAATATATTGAGGAAGGCTTGTCCAAGTGACACGTGACATACTTACTTTGAATTGTTTATACTTTAAATAATTCAAAATTTTAGTTTTAATTACTAAGACTTTGAATTTTTTTTTTTTTTGTTAATACGGTTCATGTAATTAATCAAAATATTTTAATCATTATTTATTAACCAAAGTGAAATATTTTAGTTGCTAAATTTTTAATTGTATTAATTAAAGAAAAAAATATTTTAAATATCAAGTAATTTAGAATTGAACAAAATATTTTCATATCTAATAATAAACTATTTAGTCAGAAAAATAAAGAGAGTTTTGATTATCATTTTTTAATTTTATAGTAATTTATTTAATTGATATTAATTGATAAAAATTTAATATTTTGACTATTACATCATAAAAGGGCATTATAGACAATATAAGAATTATTGATATAATTATAATGTATTTTGTTAAAGAATTTTTATTTATATAAGATTTAAAATTAAATTTTCATTAAATAATAAAAAAAATCTGATAGACATATCGTACTAGAATTTTTAAAAAAAATTAAAATCATCATAAATTAGCAAATATATCTTTTAAATAAAAAATTGTAATTTAAGTTTGATTAGTTAGTTGGTGGGGGGGGAATAAAAACGAAAAAAAAGAGTGCATGCTAGGTTGAAATCAAATTTAACGAAGGATGGTAAAAAATTTTAGGCTAAAATTAATTAATTTGGGGAGAAAAAAACTAAAGTAAAATGGCAGATTTACCAAATAAGGAAAGTATTAAGACATGGCAACAAAAGATATATTAAGAAATGCTTGTAAAAATGACACGTAGCATACTTACCTTATATGGTTTCTGTTTTAATATATATATATATATATATAATATATAGATAATTTAAAATTGTATAATATATAGATAATTTAGAATTGAACAAAATATGTTCATATCTAATAATAAACTATGCAGTGAGAAAAATATAGAGAGTTTTGATTATCATTTTTTAATTTTATAGTATTTTATTTAATTAATATTATTTGATAAAAATTTAATATTTTAACTATTACATCATAAAAGGGTATTATAGACAATATAAGAATTCTTGATATACTTATAATGTATTTTGTTAAAGTATTTTTATTTATATAAGATTTAAAATTAAATTTTCATTAAATAATAAAAAAATTTTGATAGATATTTTGTTACGCCCCAAAACCCAAATTCGAGGCGCGATAGACGTTGTACACTCGTGAGACGAGTCCCATGAATGCACAAGGCTCGAACTTATCATATCACAATCTGATACCACTAAAATCTGAAGATCAAATTTTTAAAATTTCTCCAATCATAAATCTCCAAATACACTCTAGCTTACAATATCATGATTTATTTTGAAAATCTATATCCAATTACAGTATGGCTAGCCTTCTAACTCGTCACTTCCCGTGGTTTTCCCGTCCTCGGTTTCACTTCCTGAAATGGTGGACAAGGAAAAACTATGAGATAAACTCAGTAAGTAAATATGGAGTGCCCCTTTATCAAACTTAAAGCATGCCAACAAGTACAATCACGAAAACAGATACAGTATGGGCACGAAATAGACGTCTCCTCTATAGGTCATGGCCAGTGTATAATCCCCACTAGCAGGGCCACGATTTGCTGGTGTATAACCCCCACTAGCTGGGTTGAA